CTGCTGCTACAAAACATACAGCCTACTGCACTAGTCAGGTAGCTGATGGTCCACATTAGTCCTCACTCCTTGCCCCTGTGCCCAGGTTCCTAATTATTGACTTCAATAAGGGCTTTTCATCTGTAAATTCATGCTAGACTGAAAATTTCTTTTTTTTTTTTTTAAGAGGTTTTTGCTATAGGGCGCGTGCGCTCGCCAGACAAACAGAGAGAGACAGAGAGACAGACAGTGAGAAATCACCCCCCAGGGGGGATGGCCACGCCGCAATCCCTTCTCCTCCATTCTCCTCTCGGGATCTTGGGCACGCACGCACACACGCCTGGCATGAGTTTTAAGCCACCGGGTCCAGGACGCGAACCGTGGTTGACTACGTGGGAGTCCAGCGACACAGCCATTACGCTAACTGCTGGTCCCAAGACTGAAAATTTCTTCATTGAACAACAGGAAAGGCAGGTGGTGGGAGGATTCTAGTTTTGATTCCACCAAGGATTTACTACACGACTTTGAACAAATGATTCAATTTTTCTAAGCCTCAGCTTTATGATGTTATGGGAAAGTACTCTGCCTCTTGTAAAGAAACATACAAATGGTCACTACTATCATCATCATCCGTTGTGAACAATGAGCAAATCCTTTCCACTTTGAAAACTGTGGTAAGGCTTTAGCCAGCACCACTGTCTAATCAACGTATACTGAGGCCCTACTATATACAAAAGAAGGTACAGAAAACGTGGAGAGAGAAAAGCTGTTGGTTTTCTTCACAGAGGCTCACCACTCAGGAAGCAGCTCCGCTGATGGTGTCAGTGACAAGTGGTCTTAGCCCGAGGCTCCGTTTCTTTATCCCACACCCAGGGCTTTCAAACAGTGGACCTCTGAGCCCAGAGGGCCTTCTGCACCAATGACACTGTTATAACCCAGTGCACCCCCTGGCATGCTCAGTGGATGCCCACAGGGAATCAGGAATCAGTCTCCTGTTTGGTGCTCCTAGGCCACTCAGCAACAAGTCTGGTAGCAGACGCCCCCTCTATTTCTGGGGAGGCTAGGAATGATTATCTTTTTGTTTTGATGATTCTTTCTTTTTAAGTGAAAGCATGAGGATTCAGCTGAGGACTGGTGGCAGTTTCCAAATAAGGGCAATTTGCCCAAGAAACAATTTCCTTTAGGAAAATAAAAAAGACTAATTAGGCTCATAAAGGGGTCAGTCTGTGCCTTTTCTGGCAACTTGCTGAAGCAGGATATAAGTCTTGCTGTGTTCAGCGGGCAGTCTCTTGGTTTCCGCTCTGTGCCAGTTAACTAAATTCCACAGCTCAGAAGGCAACAGCAGAGCGCGCTATAAGCTGAGGACAGAGAGTTATCAGCTGCCTCTGAGACCTTCTAACAGCTTTCACAGAGCTGGGAGGGTCGAGAGATATTCCTTGTGTTCCAGCCATGTTAATAGCCCAGAAAGAACTCTGTGAAACTACTCCAGGGGCCAGTGGCACAGAACACACTGGAAGATGACCTGGGTAGCAATACATTCCCTCCAGGCAGAGCCAGAACTGCCAAGTCAGTGAGTGCCCAGGGGAACTACAACAGGACCTGCCAGGAGACCTCAGCAGCATCCACTCAGACTGACCCTAGCAGAGGCCCAGCCTCCTGGCCTCTTTTCTTTGGCTAAGCACTTGTTTTAGTCCTGCAGGGCAGCCCTGACCCAGTACCTGTAGGTCTTTGTCATGACCCTGCTTCTCCAGGATCAGCACCCGGTCCTGCAGCTCCTCCACAGTCCCTTGGAGCAGGTCATTTTCTTCTAAGGTGGCGCTGAGGCGATGCTCCAGCTCCCGTTTCCGATCTGACAGCATCTTGATCTGGAAGGGTGGAGAGCCACAGGGGTGGCGTGGAGTTATACCCAGGCTAATGAGTAAGAAGGAGGGATGGGCCCCACAACACGAGGGCATGTATCTCTAAGTGTCTGCCCAGGGACCTGGTGTCCCCATCTCAGCAGTGGAATCCTAAGCTGAAGAGAAAACCCTCCCCCTCTAGAAACCTGACTTGGAAGGGGTGGGAGTTGAGCTTTGGGGAAGCTGGAATGTGGGATGCCAGGCAGAGGAAGGGAAGGTTAGTATTCTGGAAATTCCAGAGATAAGACAGAAAGGGGCCCCACCTTGCCTGCCCTCAACTTTATCCCAACCTTACAATTTGTGGAGGAGTGGGACTTAACCTGCTGACCTCCTCCTTCTCAAGTCACGAACACAAGAAAATGCCAAAGAAGCTCCTGGAGCCCCTGTGTTTTCATGCTCTAGAGCTCTTCTTGCTCCCCTCACAAAAACTGCTGCCCCCTCTATTACTGCAGACCACACAACTCAGAGCTGGTGCCCCCAGTTAAGGAAGGACCTAACAGGATATAAAATGCACAGTAGTGCCTGCATCAGTGTGTGGCCTGGGAAGGTAGCAGGACAGGGACAAAAGTGACAAACAGACTTTAGTCAAAGTAATTTTCAGATGAGGAAATAATTGCAAATAGAAGTAAATACTCTCCTTTTATGAACCAGGCTGGGATACTCATGCACTGGGTGCCTGGTCAGTCTCAAGATACAGAAATCTTTTAGAAAGGCCAGCAAACTCTTTAGTGTCACAGAGAACACAAAGGAAAAGGCAAGATTTGCCAAACTTTCTCTGGCCTCAAGGCTTGCAGAGGCTGAGTCAGTACTTCACCCAAAGAACGCTGCCCTGCTCAGGGGCTCCAAAATCCCTTTCCCAGTCTTCTCAATTTGTTCCAGCGTTTGGGGAACTTTTGGAGTCCTGCAGATCCCCTAGAGTCCTCTCATTTATCAGTGCTCAAGCAGTGTATTGTTTGTAAATACTCCCCAACAAGGTTAAGATGTTCATCGGGCTCTCTAGCATAGGGTGAGTGACAGCTCCTTAGGGTAAGTCCTGGAGATCGACTCAGAACTTTTCCAGGGGAGATTCTGAAATGAGTGTGTAACTTGTCCCAGGGCCTCTGAGATTCATGTTTCCCTCTGTTTTTTTTGGCTATTCTCACTCTCAGCATTAGAATTCTGCTCACAAGGTAAAGATCTTCCCTGGCCGCCCGTCAATCAGATAGAATGCCATCCTGGGCAACAAAGTATGTGGCCTTTGTCCAGAGAGATCAGCTATCTAGCCAAACAAAGAAATACTGTCTCTCGAGTGCACACCTGCGTAAGGGACCGAAAGGAGCAAGCCGGTTTTGTGAATGGGGCCACTATTCCCCCTCCACTGAAAAAGCTACCCCTGTGAAGGGAATTCTCACTGTAGCTAAATACCCTCTTCTCATGGATCATCTTTGTTTCCCAAATTTAATTAAGTGAAGTAATGAAGCAGGACAACTCTGATACACAACTGACCCTTAAGAAAAACTTAAGACGTTCAAAGCTACACGAAGTAACTTATTTGAATGAACAACCTCGTAGCTTGGCTTTTGAAAGTAGCAGTGTTACTAGATGAAGCAAGGAACTGGCATTAGGTTGCCACTCCCTCACTCCACCCTACACACCCTGAAACTTGTGGCTAAATCTGGCAATAAACACTACTGGGAAAGACCCAGTTCGTGAAGGTCTAGAAAAAGTGAGTAGGTGGGGGAAAGAGGAAGACAGGCAACCTGAAGGAGTCAGAGCCTGGCAGAGGTAGCTGACTGGCAAGTCATGCACACAAATGTCACAGACAGGCATGCCGAACCCCACCGGGCAGACTCTACTTACTTCAAGAACCTGCTGCTCAATACCAGTAGGAAATCCAAGGGAAAGGAGGAAGGAAGGGAATGAGAGGCAGGAGAAAAGAGAAGATATTGACAGACTTTAGGAAAAACATCTTTAGGTCATTTATGGAGCAGGGGAGCAGCCCCTCTGGGTTCTCTGACCTGACCACAATGGCTGATTCTTGCACCTCAGCACAAAATGCTCATTCAGTCTGGCCCTAGACTGCCTTCCGAGGTTTGACTTAGCCACAGCTGCGGTGCAGATACCTGGCTAAGGGGACCTCCAGAACAAATTGGGTTAGAGGAGCCCTTGTCTTGGCTGGTGATAGGACCCTTGCTCTCTCCTCACCTCCCACAGTTAGATTCTCACAGTAGTGTTCTTCAGGTGCTTTCTTTTCCCCTCTGGCCCAATCAGGGTTAAAGACCCTGGCTGCCATGTTCTAGCTTCCTGTATGCTTTCAGCAACATTACTATGTTCCAGGTACCAGGCAAAGTGCTCTCCATGTACTAACCCAACAAACCTCACAAAAACCTATGAAGCAGAAAATTCCATTATTCTCACTTTACCAACGAGCATAATAGTAGGACTCATTAAGGTAGACTGAGATGGACTTAAACACAACGGAGACAGGAAGACGTCCTTCTCCATCGTCTATCTGGGACTGGCGGGGACATTTTTGGAAGGATGAATATATTCAACACAATGTAGGTCATTCATGATTTTAACTCACTCAGCAGTAACGCAGCAGTTTTATTTTTCCAACCACTGGCTACCTAGAGGGACATGGATCAAGTGTTCTCCATTTAGCTTCTCGCAGAAATGTCTCTCTTTAGAGACTTTAGTCCCGTTTATTTGGCACAGGTATCTGTTTCCCAGCTCAGAGGGCCCCTTAGCCAAGAAGACTCAATGCAGAGGCTCCAATGAGAATAGCTTTTCTGTCTCCGAGCACTGTTGCTTACCTCGGCCTGAAGGCTCTCGAGCCGGATGATGTGCTGGCTGGTTGACGAGTTTTTCTCCCGAAAGTCTTCTCGGAGGGCGTGGACCTGCATGGAGAGCTGTCTCTCAACTTCTGATGCCTGCAACAGAGGAGACCTTGGGAGCTGAGTCAGAGGTTGTGTAAAGAAAGTCTATTAAGGTTTTTCCCTCTATTTCTCAAGCATCTCTTTGCACTTGCCATTCTGTAAGGAGTACTAGGTTGGATGCTGGTTTCCGCCCATGATCCATTTGTCCTCTAGCACCAAGACAGAGGCCCATCCCCACTTCTGCCATAAACCACTCTGTCCAAGTCCAAGACCACTTACTAATCAGAGGAAGTGGGACTGGAAATGGAAAATTCTCAGATGCTGGGTATCATCATTAATCGGCACAGAGCAGAAGCTCAGCCAATCCCTACTAAATGGAAAGAAAGTCTAAGAATCTTATGTAAAATAATAAGATGGATATACCTAGAACCTTAGAATTTCTCTTACTTTTACCATAAATTTCCTCGGCTGGGCTCAGGCAAAACATCTCTGCACTTCTTGCCCATGCAACATGGGCAGTACTCGAAATTCCCTGTCTTCTGTTAATATGATCATTCTTTCTGTGACTTTTCTTTCTTTCCCTTTCCATTCTTAAAAAAAGAATGATTTTTTATTATTATTTATTTTTAGAGAGAGTTTTTTTATAAGGCATGTGCACTCACCAGAGAGATAGAGAAAGAAAGTGAGTAATCACCCACCAGGGGAGATGGCCACTCTGCAATCCCGTTTTCTCCATTCTCCTCTGGGACTTTGAGCACAAGTCTCTGAGTCTGGGACTCGAACCGTGGTCAGCCATGTGGGAGTCTAGTGATGTAACTGCTACATCATCCGCTGGTCCCATACCATCCTAATAATTATTTTTTTTAAGAGACATTTTTACCATAGGGTGCTTGCTTGCTGGAGTGACAGAGAAACAGTAAGTGAGAAATCACCCCCCAGGGCGGATGGCCTTGCTACAATCCCTTCTCCTCCATTCTCGTCTCGGGATTTTGGGCACTAACACACACAAGCCCAGCATGAATTTCAAGTCACCAGGCAGAGGACTTGAACTGTGGCTGACTATGTGGGAGTCCAGCAATGTAACCACCATGCCATCTGCTGGTCCCATTATTTTTAAATTTGACTAGCGAGGGAGGGAGGGAGGGAGTGGGAGGGAGAGGGAGAGGGAGAGAGAGTGATATAGAGAGAAAACGAGTCACAAGTCCAGGATTCAAACTGTGGTTGGCCACATGGAAGTCCATCACGTTAATCACGCCACCAGCCAGCCTTGCAACTTTTAATTCTTTGGGAGTACTGGCCGAGGTGTTTATTTCCTACCCCAATCCATTTATTCTCTCATATCAAACATATCAATCACCAAAATACCACTTAGTGCTGCAGAAAGGCCATTTGAAAGAAGCTTGCTTGGTAGCATATGAACCCTAGACCATGAAGGCCCAGCCCAGATTCCATAAGGAGAGTCCCACAAGTTGTATTATGGAGAGGAGAGCCATGGGACAAGTTAAGCAATTGCCTTGGTGTTTTCCTGAGGCCAAATGGGATCAGTAAGCTTTATGGGTTCTTGGAGAGTTCACTGTATGCTAGAATGGTTAGGAAAAGCTTTCAGAGGAGGTAGGATGGTGATAATGTTGAAATGGTAGGCTACGTGTTCAATGAGGCTCTCAGAGTAATGGTTACATGTTCACATTGAACAGTTCTTTTTATCTTTAAATACTATACAATTAATTATTATTATTATTTTTTTTGTTCCACATATTCAACAAATGTTGCCTCACTGGAACAGAGGGCCATGTAAGAATCCTAATCTATAACCTTATTTTAATTTTTTTTGGAGAGGTTTTTGCTATAGGGTGTGTGTGCTCACTAGAAAGACAGAGAGAGACAGAGAGACAGAAAGGGAGAAATCACCCCCCGGGGGGATGGCCACGCCGTAATCCCTTCTCCTCCATTCTCCTCTAGGGATCTTGGGCACATATGCATACATGCCTGGCGTGAGTTTAAGCCACTGGTCTGGGACTCAAACCATGGTCAACTATAAGGGAATCCAGCGACACAGCCATTACACCAATTGCTGGTTCCTATGATCCTATTTTTTTAAACAATTACAAAACAATGAACAAAGTAAAATCAAACTATATCTTTTTTCCATAAATTCTGTATTTAATTTCAGACACTTCTCAATCACTTAGAAACATGTTAGTCACCCACCTGTGCCCCAAAAAATCACATTACTAATATTTACTGGGTGCCCATGTGCCAATAATTATGCTAAATGCTTTCTATGCATATCTCAATTTTCACCCCCAACTTATTAATGAAGGAATAGGCTCAGGGAAGTAAAGGGACTTGCTCAAGATCTCAGTAAGTGGTAGCATCGAGATGGTACACTTTGAGTTGTCTTACATCAAATTAGGACTGCAATATACCTTCTTGTATTTTGAAATGTTTTTTCCTATTTCTGTTGCTCACTACTGAAACCAAATTTTATGTAAGTTCAAATTAGCCATCTTTTTTTCTTTCTTCCTCTTTTTAAACACCAATTTCAGGGCCAGCAGGTAGCATAGTGGTGAAGGCACTGGACTCCCACATGGTTGACTGTGGTTCAAGTCCTGAACTCAATAGCTTGAAACTCATGCTGGACATGTGTGCAAGTGTGCCCAAAGTCCCGAGAGGAGAATGGAAGAGAAGGGATTACAGTGTGGTCATCCTCCCCAGGGAGTGATTTCTCAGTTTTTGTTTCTGCATGCAACCTATAGCAAAAATCCTAAAAAAAAAAAAAAAAAAAAAAAAAAAAAAAAAAAAATCATTTAAGGATTTTGAAATTTCTTCTAATGTAATGTTGAGCTCATGAGAAAAATCTGATTGTACTGAATTCAGTTAACTACAGGGCTTTTCAATATTTAGAAGAAGGGGGAAATTTTTACACTACTAGGAATGTGGGACAACTGTGAGAAACAGTAAAAGAGCCAAGAACCTGTTTGCTTAAAACAAAACAAAACAGGCACTGTTATGCACGTAGTCCCCCTTAGGGGTTCTGCACTGAAAACAGCCTGCTAAAGGGACTTGGCTGACATCATGAAGGTAGTGGGTTAAGCTAAAAATGTGGAGAAAGACAGAAATATTCGAGGATATATAGTCCTATCTTTCAATTATGGTCATGAAGGGAACCAGCAGTTAGCGTAATGGCTATGTCGCTGGACTCCCACGTAGTCGACCGTGGTTCGTGTCCCGGACCCGGTGGCTTAAAACTCACGCCGGGCGCGTGTGCGTGCGTGCCCAAGATCCCGAGAGGAGAATGGAGGAGAAGGGATTGCGGCGTGACCATCCCCCCTGGGGGGTGATTTCTCGCTTTCTGTCTCTATGCCTCTCTCTGTCTGTCTGGCGAGCGCACACGCCCTACAGTGAAAATCTCTCCAAAAAAAAAAAAAGTAATTATGGTCATGAAGTAGCCTTTCAAAGTTATTCAATGGGCAGCAAATACCTATAGCTATTCTTCTCTTGCAGAAACAAAATTTCTTGCAGCAGCAGGGGCCCTGGGACCTTCTTTTGGTGGTAGTGGTAGAGGATGACATTAGGACAATTCGTTCGTATACTAGAAAATGGCGGGCAACAGGCTGGCAGGTGGCATGGTGGTTAAGGCACTGGACTCCCATATGGCTGACCACAGTTCGAGTACTGGACCTGGTAGCTTGCTTTCTCTCTCTCTCTCATCAAATAGAATAATAATAAATAAATACAATTAAATAAATATTAAAAAAAGGAAGGGGCAGGCATGGTTATTACAGTTTACTTCTCAAAATGATGAATTTTGGACTATTGTGCTTAAGCAGCCAATAATAGTTATGGAGGAAACAAAACATCTGTAATCAATAGGTGAATATAAAATAGATTTTAGTTCATGTGTTTGTTTTTTTCTTTTTAAACTTTTAAAAGATTTATTTTAACTTTATTTATTTATTTTAATTTGACCAGAGAGGAACAGAGTTAGAGAGAGAGAAAGTAAGAAAGCAAGCTGGAAGGTCTGGGACTGGAACCGTGGCTGGCCATGTTGAAGTCCAGTACCCTTAACCACCACACCATCTGCTGGCCCCTAAACTCTTTTTTTCTTTCATAAATAAAATGAACAAGTGTTCAGAGTGAAAATAAAAAACAAAGAACACTGAAAAGTTTAAATGAAAATTAATATTTCCACCTATCTCTTACTCTCCAGAGGTAATCACCATTAGAGACATTCCAAAACCTTCTTATAAAGTTTTCTATTCGTATGTATTTATCTAAGATATTATCAAACAACTTGCCTTTAAAAATACATGAATTTGGGACCAGCAGCTGGCTTAATGGTTACGTCGCTGGACTCCTACATAGTCAACAATAGTTGGAGTCCTGCTCTGGGTGCCTTGAAACTCATACAGGGCACGTGTGCGAGTGTGCCTAAGATTCCACAAGGAGAATGGAGAAGGGATTGTGCTGTGGCCATCCCCCCCTGGGAGGTGATTTCTTGCTTTCTGTCTCTCTCTCTCTCTGGCAAGTGCACGTGCCCTATAGCAAAAATCTCTCTTAAACAAACAAACAATATTTTAGCATCTTTTCTGTTGCTATGTAGATCCACCTTATTCTTTTTAACAGTTATCTGGTATTTAGTTACATGAATACATCATAATTTACCTAGTCCCTACTGGTCAGCATTTACAATATTCTAATTTTTAAATTTTTGATATTATAAGCATTGTTGCAGAAAACACCCTTGCCCACTTATCTTTATTCTTGTGGCAGAAATATCCTCAAAGGTGGACGAAGTAGAAAACAAGTGGAGTCACTAGGTAAAGGATATGCCACTCATTTTGATAGGCATTGCAAAACTGTCTGCCAAGAAGGGTGCATAAATTTATATACCCCTGACAGTACAAAAATGCCTGCTTCTCAATACTTTGCCTACATTGCGTATTACAACCTATTTTAATCTTTAGATACTTGTTTCTAAAATCTTCAAAAACTTAAAATCTCTTATTTTCACTGCATACAGACTACATGATACAGGCATTTGAAAAAATAAC